AATTGTATTTTGAAATTTCTTAAGTGAGCCTTTCAATTCTTTAAGGTCTCATCGATTTCTTTTGGAGGTGTTTATCTCTTCTTTCATTTCCCCGATTGCTTTAGAAGTTTATGTCTATTTTCAACCGTCTTTTGAATCTTGTTGAGCTTCCTTGCAATTCATACTTTGAACTCTTTATTAGTCATTTCTGAGTTTCCATTTTGGCTAGGAACCATTGCTTGACAGCTAATATGATCCTTTGGTGGTGTTATTACATTCGCATTTTTTGTGGTGCCTGAGTTCTTGCCCTGTTTCTTCTCATCTGGGACATTAGTGCTTCCAATTTTTGTAGTCATTTTAATGTGGATAGGACTTTTTCCTTTTTATTTCTTTTTATGTAACATTGGAGTTTTCTCCTTTCTCTTTCCCCCTCCTCCCTTGGGAGTATAACTGTAGACAATGTTGGGTAGGGGCCTTTAACTTTGCTTCTGAGGCCTATGCACATATATCAGCAGGTTTTATATTGGGCTATGGGGCCTAACCTATAGGCCAATAGATGGCACATACAGCTAAGTCAGCTGAGGCAAACACAGCTAAGATAGATACCTGACCTTTATTTACTGGGAGAAAGGATGGGCCAGGCTGATGATCCAGGTGAGCAGATGGTCTGAATACCTGGAAATCTGCCTGGGTGTAGAGCAGAGACAGCCCCACTTCACCACAATGTCTGTGCAGGAAGAATGGGGCAGCTCAGGCTGCTGATCATGGCAAGTAGGTGCTCTGCCTGCCTGAATGTGAAGCTGAGAGGGTGCCCACCACATAGATCTCTGCAAAGAAAGAGTGGGGTGACTCAGGCTGCCAATGCTGGTGAATAGGTTCTTTGAATGCCTGGAGATCTACCTATGTGTGGAGCAGAGAGGGTCCCACTGCATCACAATCTCTGCACAGAAAGGGTAGGGTGGCTCAGGCTGCTCATCTAGGTAAGTGGGTGCTCCAAATGCCTGGAGATCTCTTCAGTTTCTTTCATCAGGTTTTTAAACTTTTTGTCATACAGATCTTTCACCTCTTTGGTTAATTTTATTCCTAATGTTTTGTTTTGTTTATGATTGATGTTATTCTTTATTACTTTTTCAGGTAGTTCATTGTTAGCATACAGAAATGTGATTGATTTTTCTGTGTTGATTCTATATCCTGAAACCTTACTGAATTATTAGTCTAATAGTTTGTTGTGGCATATTTAGTATTTTCTGTATGTAAGATCGTGTCATCTGCAAACAGAGACAGTTTAACGTTTCATTTTTAATTTGGATATTTTTCTTTTTCTTGCCTAATCACTCTGGCTAGAACTTAAAGTACTATATTGAATACAAGTGCAAGAGTGAATACATTTGTCTTATTCCTGATCTCAGAGGAAAGCTTTCAACTTTTCTCCACTAAGTATGATGTTATCTGTGAGCTTGTCACATGTGGCCTTTATTATGTTATAGTACATTGCTTCTTTACCTAATTTGTTGAGAGTTTTTATTATGTAAAGATAAATCCATCAAATGCTTTTTCAGCATTGAGATGCTCATATGGTTTTGTCCTTCACTCTGTTAATGTGGTATATCATATTTACCAATTTGTGTATGGTTAGCCATCCTTGCATCCCAGACCATCTGCTCACCTGGATCATCAGCCTGGCCCATCCTTTCTCCCAGTAAATAAGGGTCAGATGTATATATCTAGCTGTGTTTGCCTCCGTTGACTTAGCTCTATGTGCCAACTGTTGGCTTGTAGGTTAGGCCCCATAGCCCAATATAAAACCTGTAAATGTGCATAGGGCTATAGAAGCAAAGTCAGAAGCCCTTATTCAACATTGTCTATAGTTACATTCCCATGGGCTAAAAAATCAAAGTCAAAAGCCCCTACCCATCGCCACTTGATTGTGGTGAATGATCCTTTTATTGTGATGTTGAAATCAATTTGGTAGTATTTTATTGAGGATTTCTGCATATTTTTTCATTGGGATATTGGCCTGTAATTTTCTTTTCTTGTAGTATTTTGGCTTTGGTACCAGCCTAATATTGGCCTTGTAAAATGAATTTAGTTGAATTTAGCTGTGAAATCATCAGATACTGGGCTTTTCTTTATTGGAAAGTTTCTGATTACTGATTCAATCTCCTTACTCATTGTTGGTCTGTTCAGATATTTATTCATGATTCAGACTTGGTAGATTATATCTTCCTAGAAATTTATCAGTTTCATCTATGTTTCTCAATTTGTTGGTATATAATTGTTCATAATAATCCTCTATGACCTTTTGTATTACTGCAGTATTAGTGGTAATGTCACTTATAATTTTACTTATATGAGTCTCCTTTCTTTTTTCTTAGTATAGCTAGAGGTTTATCAGTTTTATCTTCTTCTAATAAAATACCAACCAGCACTGGATCTGAAATAAACTCTTAGTTTTATTGATATTTTTCTATTATTTTTATAGTCTCTATTTCATTTATTTCTGCCATTGAAACCAGCTCAATTGACCCATAGTACTGATGTTTATTGTTTCTCATGAATAAACCAAGAAATTGACCTTCTCAGTATTAAAACTTGAGAAACTTATATTTGTCATATCTGAGTTCCTGTCTCAGGAAACCAGTCCTTGGGCCTCCCAGATAGTATCAAGGAACTGAAACTTACCAGATCACTACATCTGGACATTGAGACACTGACCCCTCACCTGTCACCTGTTGACCAAGTCCTTCTCATTTTTTCCTTATTCTTGCTTTCCACACATAGTTACATTTCTTTTCTGCTATATAAACTCCTAATTTTAGTGTGTGAAAAATATTAAAGTTGAGACTGATCTGTTCTCCTCGACACAGCACCCAAAAAAGCCTTCTTCTCTGGCAATACTCATTGTCTTTGTGATTGGCTTTCTCTGCAATGAGCAGCAGGACCTAGACTAAACCCTTGGCATTTTGGTAACACTAATTTTTATTATTTCCCTCCTTCTCCTAACTTTGGACTTAGTTTGTTCTTTTTCTAGTTCCTTGTGATATAAAATTAGGTTATTTGAGATCATTCACATATATATATATATATATATATATATATATATATATATATGTGTGTGTGTGTGTGTGTGTGTGTGTGTGTGTGTGTGTGTGCATGTATTGCCATAAACTCTCTTAAATGCTTTTGCTGCATGTATCAGTTTTGGTATGTTGTGTTTCCATTTTTATTCCAAGATTTCAATTTTCCTCTTCATTTCTTCTTTGACCTATTGGTTGTTAGGAGCATATTGTTTAATTTCCACATATTTGTGAACTTTTTAATTATTTTTCTGTTCAAATTTTTTATAACAATTTCTTTTTTAATAAAGCTTCATCTACTCTAATAATTTTAGAACTTTTCTGTGATGTGTTGCTCCAGAAATTGAAGCCTAGAGTAGAGCTTTGGAGTCAGACAGAAAGCCCAATTTTAAGTCTTGGTTGGCTAATAATCCTCAGACAGTTTTTCTTTAAGATAAGTTCTCATTCTGTCATCTATGCTGTAATAGGATTGTGTGATCGTGGCTCACTGCAGCCTCTACCTCTTTGGTTCAAGGAACCCTGCTTCAGCCTCCTGAGTAGCTAGAACTACAAGCACATGCCACTGTGCACAGCTAATTTATTTTTTTAATTTTTTGTAGAGATGCGCTCTCACAATGTTGCCCAGGCTTGGTCTTGAATTCCTGAGCTCAAACAATCCTCCCATTTTGGCTTCCCAAAGTGTTGGAATTACAAGCACAAGCCACGGCACCTAGCCTAGTTTTTAAACTTTTTAAAGTTTCACTTTGTACGTACTTAAAAAGGGTACTACTTGAGAACCTACATAATAAGCATAATTGATTTAATGACATACATATAAATTATTTGCCAGTGACTGGTTCATATAGTGAATGCTCAGTAAGTAGTAGTTGTTACCATCCCATGTTGAATACCCTAATAAAAATGAGAAGATTATTTCTTTGCCATTAAATATGCTTTGTAATTATCTTTGTGCAGCCACTTTATATTCAGCCTTGGGTTCACCAAGATTCTTTATTTTTTTTCCCACAGGGTTAATGTTACTTATTTACACATAAATATATTTCCTTCTATGTACCTATCTAATCTAACTTTATTTTTATTGACTTTTGAGCCCTAGCCCAATTAACTGAGATTATTTTCTTTTGAATCTTTGTTTTTAAAAGACTGATTCTGGTTATTCTCCAAACTGGCACTAGAGGTATCCTGTTCAGAACAGCAAGGCCAAAGCATTTGACAATTTGTAATCTAGTGAAAACAAGGCTATTGAAAAGCTAGCCTACCATTCTCTAGAGAAGCTCTATAGGATAATTCTGAATCTTAGGGGTACACAATTATATGAGTTGGTCAATCCCTGGAGAATTCAGGCAGGGAGATTACTGGCCTCAAATATTTCTTCCAATCTCTCCATCAGTTCTCTAGAAACTGCCTGGAATTGAAATGGATCCCTTTTCTAGTTAAATTTTACACCCATTCAAAATGGTTCCAGACCATAAAGATAAGGGCACTTTAGATTCTTTTATCCTGTTCTCATTCTCATAAGTATGTCTACAAATCAGTAAGTTGACATATTTGTTGTTCTGTCATACTTATTTGTAACAGCCTTAGCACCATAGGTGTTGTACATCAGGATTTGGGAATGAGCCTAAGGGTTACTAGCCCCTGACAAATACTACTGAGCTCTGTTATTCTACTAGTGAAGAGCCCTATATTCAATTGATAACACTTTCCTTAGTTTTTATGTGTTCAAAGCTCTTTATTTGAAGTTTTTTTAAAAAATGGAATGGGGTACAATAGAGTTAACACTGTCTTTATTTTTCAATAGCGACAAACATTTTAGAAAACTATTTTTTCTCACAAGAAAGGATATGTTTTAGATAGTTCATATAACTAAATTTGTTAAAACTATGGCAGTTGTTTAATAATAATACAATATAGGTTTATGTATTTATATGTCTCTTTCTATAGGTTTCTTCAGTTTTTGGCGTGGCAATTTGGCAAATGTTATTCGGTATTTTCCAACACAAGCTCTAAACTTTGCTTTTAAGGACAAATACAAGCAGCTATTCATGTCTGGAGTTAATAAAGAAAAACAGGTAATTATATATATATTTTTACTTTTTCCTTCCAATATAGAAATTTTCTGTCCATTGTAAATTTTCTGTCCAATGTAAATATATTTCAGTATCTCTAAAATTTTCTTTAAAATGGTTAGATTGTCTTAACTGCGATGTTTTATTTGGGGAGGAGGTGCTCAAGTGGTGAGAAAAAAAATAAATATGTATTGTTACAAAAGTCATAAAGGATCTTTTGTCTCAAGGCAATATTTCTTTGAATAAATATTATACCTAATGTAATTTCATCTTGTCATTGTTCTGCACTGAGAAAACACAGCATTTTGTCTGCTTATTTTAAACACAGAAAGAAAGCAACAAGTACATTGTACCTACTACTGAGGTAATTTATATAAAGAAGTAAATTATTTCTTTTTTGATAATAATGATTTATTTAGCTGAGATTAAAGTGTATAGGAAGTCAAAATTGAGTGAAACTGGAAAATGATAAATTTAACCCAGAGAATTCTTTTTATTGCAAAGATACTGTTTGGTTATTCAAGTAATTACTCCCTTGGTTACAAAATCTCAGTTTCAAAATTTCTAACTCATATAAACTCCATGTCATTTATTCTGATTTGTATTTGTTTTTTAGTATCCAATACACTATACTACCTACATTATTCCCAAGATCTTCCCTTCACTCTTACAAAATCTCTCTTAACCCTCATCTTCTCTTTTTCTCCCTGTCTCTCCTCATCTCCCACTCCTGCCCCAGCCAACCAAGCTGTCTTAGGAGGTTTTTAAAAGCAAATGTTTGTGGAACATTTCTTTGTTGCTGCCTCCATAAATTTCCTTTAATACTCTGTATTCCTTTTCTTCATTATTTTATTTATTTTTTTAAATTATTATACTTTAAGTTCTGGGGTTCATGTGCAGAACGTGCAGGTTTGTTACGTAGGTATACACGTGCCATGGTGGTTTGCTGCATCCTTCACCCTCTCACATCAGGTATTTCTCCTAATGCTATCCTTCCCCTATCTCCCCACCCCCTGCTATCCCTCCCTTAGCCTCCCACCCCCCAACAGGCCCCAGAGTATGATGTTCCCCTCCCTGTGTCCATATGTTCTCATTGTTCAACACCCACTTATGAATGAGAACATATGTTGTTTGGTTTTCTGTTCTTGTGTCAGTTTGCTGAGAATGATGGTTTCGAGCTTCATCCATGTCCCTACAAAGGACATGAACTCATCCTTTTTATGGCTGCATAGTATTCCATGGTGTATATGTGCCACATTTTCTTTATCCAGTCTATCACTGATGGACACTTGGGTTGGTTCCGAGTCTTTGTTATTGTGAACGTTGTTGCAATAAATATACGTGTGCATGTGTCTTTATAATAGAATGATTTATCATTTTCTTAACAGTTGCTTACTGAATACTTTGCTTTGTCTTTTGGCCAGTGTGGAGGGGTGGGGTAAGGGGGTACAGGTAGAAAGGTAACCAGGAAAATTCCCTAGACTTAGAATTGGAAGGTTTAGATTTGGATCTTGGTTCTCTGTTTATTTAGCTACATGAGATTTTCTTTTATTTTTATTTTAGATCTGAGGGTACATGTGAAGGTTTGCAGTATAGGTAAACTCATGTTACAGGGTTTTCTTGTACAGATTATTTCATCACTCAAGTATTAAACTAGTACCCAATAGTTATTTTTCCTGCATCTCCCTCCTCCAATCCTCCACCCTCAAGTAGACCTGTGTATTTTTATTATTTGTGTTCATAAGTTCTCATCATTTAGCTCCCATTTTTAAGTGAGAACATGCAGTATTTGGTTTTCTGTTTCTATGTTAGTTTGCTAAGAGTAATATCCTCCAGCTCTTTTCATATTTCCACAAAAGACATTATTTCATTCCTTTTGATGGCTGTATATTATTACATGTTGTATATGTACCACATTTTCTTCATCCAATCTGCCATTGATGGGCACATAGGTTGATTCCATGTCTTTGCTATTGTGAATAATACTACAGTGATCACTTCCATGCATGTGTCTTTATAATAGAATGATTTATGTTACTCTGGGTATATATCCAGTAATTATACTTCTGTTTTTAGCTCTTTGAGGAATTGCTATACTGCTTTCCACAATGGTCCAACTAATTTACACTCCCAAGCACAGTGTATAAATGTTCACTTTTCTCCACAACCTCACCAGCATCTGTTATTTTTTGACTTTTTAATAGTAACCATCCTGACCATGAGATGGTATCATATTGTGGTTTTGATTTGCATTTTTCTAATGATCAGTAATATTGAGCTCTTTTCATTTGGTTGTTGGCTACATGTATGTCTTTTTTTGAAAAGTATCTGTTCATATCCTTTCCATTTTTTAATGGGGTTGTTTTTCTGTTGTAAATTTGTTTAAGTTCCTTATAGATGCTAGATATTAGACATTTGTCAGTTTGCAAGTATTTTCTCCCATTCTGTAGGCTGTCTGTTTACTTGTTACTGTTTACTGTCAGTCTGTAAACTGTTGACAGACTAACAGTAAACTGTTGACAGTTTTTTTTGCTGTGCAGAAGAAGTTCTTAAGTTTAACTAGATCCTATTTGTCAATTTTGGCTTTTGTTGCAATTGCTTTTGGTTATCTTTTTCATGAAATCTTTCTTCGTTCCTATGTCAAGGATGATATTGCCTGGGTTGTCTTCCAGGATTTTTATAGTTTTAGGTTTTACATTTAAGTCCTTAATCCATCTTGAGTTGATTTTTATATGTGGTGTAAGGAAGAGGCACAGCTTTAATCTTCTGTATATGGTTAACCAGTTGTCCCAGCACCATTTATTGAATAAGGAGTCCTTTTCTCATTGCTTGTTTTTGTAAGCTTTGTCAAAGATTAGATGACTGTAGGTGTGCAGTTTTATTTCTGGGCTCTCTATTCTGTGGCTTTGGCCTATGTGCGCATTTTTGTCTTAGTACCATACTGTTTTGGTTACTTTAGTCCCATACTATAGTTTGAAGTTAGGTAACATCAGATGCCTCCAGCTTTGTTCTTTTTGCTTAGGATTGCCTTGGCTATTCAGGTTCTTTTTTGGTTCCATATGAATTTTTAAACAGTTTTTTCTAGTTCTGTGAAGAATGTCATTGGTAGCTTGATAGGAATAGCACTGAACCTATAAATTGCTTTAGGAAATATGGCCTTTTTTTTTTTGAGACAGAGTCTCACTCTGTCATCCAGGCTGGAGTGCAGTGGCATTACCTTGGCTTACTGCAACCTCTGCCTCCTGGGTTCAAGCAATTCTCCTGCCTCAGCCTTCCAAGTAGCTGGGACTACAGGTGCATGCCACCACCATACCCAGCTAATTTTTTTGTATTTTAGTACAGATAGGGTTTTAGGTTTTACCATGTTGTCCAGGCTGGTCTCGAACTCCTGACCTCGCAATCCACCTGCCTCTACCTCCCAAAGTGCTAGGATTATAGGTGTGAGACATGGTGTCTGGCCTAATGTGGCCACTTTAATGATATTGATTCTTCCTATCTATGAGCATGGGATATTTTTCCATTTGTTTGTGTCGTCTCTGATTTCTTTGGGCAGTGTGTTGTAATTCTCATTATAGAGATCTTTCACCTCCCTAATTAGCTGTATTCCTAGGTATTTCATTCTTTTTGTGACTGTATGAGATTTTAAAAGTTGGTTTACTTCTCTGATCCCTAGTTTCCTCATCTAAAAATTGGGCATAATAATACCTTTCTCATAGTTTAATTGTGAGGTTTAGATGAGATTACATGTGAAGTGTGTAGCATAGTGCCTTGCTTTATGACAGGCATTCAGTAAAATGTTTCTGCTTCTTAAACTGACAGCTGTAATAATTGGAATTTCCCTTGACTCAGATTATTTGTTCCACAGTGTGGGGTTCTCTCCAAAACTATTGTCAGGTTCATTGATTCACTAGAAGGATGTATAAAATTTAGAAAATCAGTTATACTGTGGTTTATTAAAGCAAAGGTATTCAAATTAAAATCAAAGGGAAAAGGCATACAAGGAAGAGACCAAGAGAAACCAGGTGCAAGTTTATAATTGTCCTGTTCTAGTGAATCATATGGACAAAATACTAACTTCCCAAGATCCAAAGTAAGTTTACTCAATCCTTGGTGTCCAGGGTTTTTCTTTGGGATCACTATCATAGACATGGAATGTGACTGACCTTAGCTACACAGTTTCTGGTCCCCTTCCAGAAAACAAACTCATGCAGCTTAGTACAAAACCCCAGGCTTAAACAAACAAGTGTTTACCATAAATCACAATGTTAGCACAAACTCTCCCAACTGAATCACTCACCTTAGTCCCTTATAGGTCTTAAAACAGTCCTATAAATTGGCTCCTGTCCTTTTCATTTGCAGTCAGAGAGCATACCTGCTCATCCAGCAACCCACCAGGAGGCTCATCTGTCTGTGACCCCAGAGACAAGCCTAAAGAGCTTGATCTCAAGAGACCTAAAACAACCCTGTGATTTGGTTCCAGCCCCTGTCAGCCATGGACCAAGTCATTATTGCCTTCCCAGGACCCACCCAGTCATCTAATGGAAGTGGTTCCAGAGATGGGAGGAAACCACATCCATCGGTATATCTAATGAAACATGATGCAGACCCTCATCCTAGCAGCAACTCACAGACCATGGTTATTGAGACAGTCCAATTCAGCCAGGATCTAGATAGGATATGTGCTTACTACAGTTTTTAGTAAGAGGCCCACCAATTGCATTCTTCACTGTGGACTCAGCAGCAGCCACATGACTTAGATCCAACACCATTTAACTGTCATATTAACAGCAGTCTGATCAATCCAAAGACCTAAAAGGAGAGGATTTTAACTTGCTGAAACCAGTTTTCTAAGACTGCAAGAAAAGTTTGGTCTTTCAGATATGCAGACACCAACACAAGACTACATGGATAACAAGGACTCAAGGCAACCAGGACACCACCAGAAGAAACTAATAATGCTCCAATAACAGACCCCAAACAAATGGATATATACATATCACCTG